ACCAGGCTGTGCCAAAAAATCTGGAGGCCAACTACCTGGCCAACTGACTGGAAGAGATTCATATTTATTCCCATTCCGAAAACAAACAAACAAACAAAAAAAACAGTGATCTGACAGAGTACGGAAATTATAGAACAATATAATTAATATCACACACAGGCAAGATCCTGCTACAAATTATCTAAAAATGGCCGGAAGATGAACAGAGAACTACCAGAAATAAAAGCTAGGTTTAGAAGAGGCCATGACACTAGGGACATTATAGCCCATGTTAGATGAATCTTAGCTGAAAGCAGAGTACCAGAAGAATATAGCTATCTGTGTTTCACTGACTATGCAAAGACATTTGACTATGTGGATCACAACAAATTATGGCTAACCTTGAGCAGAATGGGAATCCCAGAACTTAATTGTGTTCATATGAAACCTATACTTAGACCACAAGACAAAGCAAGAAAACACTAAATGGTTCAAAATCAGGAAAAGTGTATGTCATGGACGTATCCTATCTCCATAGATAGGCAGAAGAGATCATTCAGGAGGATGGACTCTATAAGGAGGAATGTAGCATCAGGATTAGAGAAAGACTCAACAACAACTTGCGTTATGAGGATGACACACCTTGCTTGCTGAAACTGAAGAGGATCTGAGGCATTTGCTGGAGAAAGTTAAGGACAGCAGTTTTCAATATGGATTAAATTTCAACATCAAGAAACAAAGAGTCTCATCACTGGGCCATTTGGAAGCATCATGGTAGATGAAAAGGAGATTGAGGTTGTTAACAATTTCAGCTTGCTTGGTTCCACAATCATCACTCTTGGCACCAGCACTCAGGAAAAGAACAGACAAACTGCATTGGGAAAATCTGCTGTCAGGGACCTCTCCAGAGTACTGAAGAACAATGATGTCAGTCTGGAAATTAAGATGCGCCTGATCCAAGCCATGGTCTTCTCAATTACTTGCTATGCATCAGAGAGCTGGACAGGCAATAAGGATGAGAGAAGAAGAATAGATGCCTTTGAGTTATGGCCCTGGAGAAGAGTATTGAACAGAGAATGGACTGTTAAGAGAACAAACAGGTATGTCCTAGAGAAGGTGAAACCAGGCTGCTCCTTGGAGGCAAAGATTTTGAGCTCTGTTTGCCATGAGGGACAAGTCCTTGGAGAAGGACATCATGCTTGGAAGGGTGAAGAGACAGTACAAGAGAGGAAGACCCTGGATGAGATGAATTGATTCAGTAACTGGGGTAATGAGGGTAAGTGTGATGGAGACAGTGAAATTGGCTCAGGATAAGACAGGGTTCAAAGCTATTATACATCGGGTCGCTATGAGTCCAGGTGACTCAATGGCACATAACAATAACAAATAATTACATAATATTCCCAGCAGGGAATGGGGTATTTCCTATAACTAAGTATATATCTCTTGTTTCAGGGCGAAAAAAATTACTATTCACAGAATGTTGTAGGTTGTCTTCAAATTGAGCACGACTCATAGGGACCCTGAAGCCTTTCTATAACTATCAGTATTTATCAAAGTTCATAGAGTTTCTGGAGGCATGTTGTTTACGAAGTAGATGCCAATCCTGCTTCCAAATATTGGGAGATACAGTTCAGTTACAACAATCCTTTTGTTTTTTTAATTGAACTTAGATTTCCATTCATTCATTGTACATTTTCCACCCTGCCCCCCAAGTTCCCTTTTTTCTTTGGAAAAAAGGGTCTTTCATTGTTATACAGTTCACCCACCCCCCTTCGGACCACCTTACTATGTAGCTCTTATTCTGGACTCTTGTCACGTCAATAATACTGAATCAAATATTCCTTTTATGCAGTTCTCTCCCTTGTCTGTTTCAATATTGTGTACATTATTTATGCCCTCTTAAGAGACATAAGAAGAACATTGAGGAGCAATGATATCCAGTTTGAAGACCAAGCTGCATTTGATTCAGGTCAACGAATAAAATTTGCTACACATCATGCCAGGTTTTTGAAGCTAAAAGAGTTTTTTGAAGTTCCTACTTTCAGCACATTATTCAGAACTAGCTGATATAAGATTATTCTTGAAAATGAACTTGAAAAACTCCACAGGTTATCAAGAAAGGTCCTACCAGAATCGAGTATAGACGAGGACTTGAGAAGCAATACTGTTCGGCTGGAATTGGGGAAACCAAATCACAGTGAAAATACACAAACCTCTGAAGAAGCTACTCTAGGAAAAAGAAAACTTAAAATCAAGTATTATGATCATCAACCAAAAACTCATTGCTATTGAGTTCAATTTCAACCCACAGTAATCCTCCACGTGGTTTCTCAGGCTATAAATCTTTCCTAGAGGTGAGTGCCCATCCTTCTCCCACAAGGAAGCTGGTGGATTCTAATTGTTATCAGTGTAATACATAATGCACTATGCCTCCAGAGGGCCTTAAACAATCCTATGTGCCAAACCAATTGTAACCCAGTTAAAAAAATCAAAGTCATTGTCATTAAGTTGAAACTTATTCATAACTGACCCTTCAATGGGTTTCTCAAGATGTAAATTACGTGAGAAGAAACTTCCCATCCCTCTTCCTTGAAGAATCCTTCTCCCTTAGAGAACTGAACTACACGAGAGGTACAGTCTTTGGGTTAGCAGCACAACTCACTGGACAAGGCTACTGCAAAAGAACTCTTTAAAGTGTTAAAGAGCAATGTTGTCCTCTTGAAGACTAAGATGTGCCTGACTCAGTCACAGTATTTTAATCACCTCAAAGGCTTGTGAAAGTTAGACAAAAAATAAGGAAGACCAAGGAATCACTGAGGTCTTTGAATTACAGTATAGGAGGAAATAAAATATACAATATGGACTCTCAGAAGAATAAACAAATCTGTCTTGGAAGAAATACAACCAGAATGTTCCTTAGATGTGATGAAGGGGAGACTCTATTTCATGCACTTGGGGCATGTTTTCAGGAGGAATTAATCTCTGGAGAAGGATATTATGGTTAGTAAAGTAGGGGATGCTAGGGGCCTTTCACTTGACTACTCCTCACAGCAACCTGATGAATAACAGATCTGAACCTTGCCTTATCATGCTCCATCCTCACAACCTACAATATGCTCAAGCCCAATGTTCCAGTCACTGTGTCAATCCATCTTGTCGAGGGTCTTCCCCTCTTTCTCTAACCCTCCACCTTTCCTCGTATGTTCTCTTATCCTAAGGACTGGCCCTTCCCAACAACATGCCCAAAGCATGTGAGATGAGGTTTCACCACCCTGCCCCCGAGGAGCACCACGGTTGCAATTCTCCAAGGCAGATTTGTTTGCTCGTTCAGCACTTGGTGAGATATTTAGTACTCTTCACCAACACCACAATTTACAGTCACTGATCCTTCAGTCAGCCTTATTCACTGCCCAACTTGAAGATACATAGGAAGCAAGTGGTAGAGGGTCAGCAGAAGAAGAGGAAGACCCTAAAGAAAGACAGATGCAGTGGCTGCATCAATGACTTCAAATACAGACATCATTGTGAGGATGTTATAGGACAAGGTAATCATTTGTTCCATTGAACAGAGGGTCACTGTGAGTTAGTATCAGCTCAACAGTATCTAACAACAACAACAACATTCATATAAAGTTAGGGATGGGGCATGGTTTACATGTGTTAAAGAAAACTTTGATACATAATATGGTAACTTATGGAAAGGGTCACATACTCAATGCATGTAGTGAATTTCATAAGGATTCAAAATTGGTGTAGGTATTTATCAGATCAATTAAGTGTTGTTGTTGTTTTTGTTGTTGTTAGATACTGTTGAGTTGAGTATAACTAATAGTGACCCAATGAACAACAGATATGAACCCTGTTTTATCCTATGCCATCTTCACACTTTCTGACACACAAGAGTCCACTGTGGCAGTCACCACATCAATCCACCTGTCTAGGGTCTTCCTCCCCTTTGCTGACTCTCCACCCTTCCCAACATCATGCCCCTCTCCAAAGAATAGCCTCTCCTTAAAAAAAAAAGAATAGCCTCTCCTTGCAACATGCCCAAAGTATGTAAGGTGAAGCCTCATCCATCATTCTATCCTCCAAAGAGCACTCTGGCTGCACCCTCTCCAAGACAGATTTGTTTGTTGTCTTGGCCATCCATGGGATGTTCAGTGCTCTTCTCCAACAACACAGCTCAAACGCATCAATTCTTCTTCTGTCCTCCTTATTCACTGTCCAGCTCTTGCATATATAGCAAGTGAATGGAAAGACCATGGCCTGGATCAGATGCACCTTAGTCCTCAAGCTGAGATCATTACTCCTGAATAATCTGGAGAGGTCTTTAACTGCAGGTTATCCCAGTGCAATGTGTCTCCTTATTTCCCTGCTGATACTAAGGTTGTTTACTTTGGATCCAAGTAAAAGGAAGTTATACAAATTGCATACTTGCATATGTTATCATTGTGTTCTGTTGAGTAAGAACCCATTCATAGGGGAGCTCTGGTGACCTAGTGACAAGGAGCTGCAAGTACAATCCCAGAGGCGCACGGTTCGAATCCACCAGATGCTCTGCCGGGGAAGGAGGGACAATCTCCTCCTGTACCAGTCAGATCTGATTTGACGGTACATGCACACACACACACACAAAAAAACAAACAAGAACCCATTCATAGCTAATCCTGCTGTGGGTTTTCAGAGGTTGTAAATCACAAGGGAGATGAGTCATCCTTCTCTTGAGGAGCAGCTAGTGGATTCCAACCGCAAACCTTGGGATTGTCAGTGCCACTCCTTCCCAGTAAGCCAACCAGAGCTCACTTTACTTACACATACTATACACCTAGAATGAACAGAATCATTTCCGTGCGTGCTCTAGTCTTAACAATCTTTTCATTCCAAATGATAACAAAGCGTTAATTTCATGAGCCCCCAAATTTATTTTACAAGATCGCAGAGGGAACAGAATTCAAGAACAGTACTATAAGATCATAACAACACAGAGAGCAGCAAAATCCATGGTGATCGTCTCCTACCTCTGCGCGACCCTCGTAGTAGGTTAACATGGACTTTGTAAGTACGAAAAGTCTCTCTTTGTAGTTTAACGGTGATGTCTTCTTTTTCTGCTGTGACCTTTTAATAAGAATCTCCTCTAGAATAGTGTTAAAATTCATCTCCATCTTCTGATCACTCCTTCTCCTGCCATTGAAAGTACCAGTATTCTAAAGAGAAAGAAAAAACCCAGGTAAAATAAAATATGGCATTTTAATTTTCTAAAGAAATAGTCATTTCAAACACTAAAGTAAGTCTGACCCTTACCACATCCACATCAGTTAGACATTATTCTACAAATGTGGACTGAAAATGTCGAAAACCTAACATCTCAATGGACTCTTTCCCCACGTCCTATTCTGATCCTCCATAGTCCATTTAAAAAAAAAATCTAATCAAGCTTTGCAGTGATGGTGATTCCTTCCTTGGTATATTTCTAACATTTCATAGTTTTCAGGCAAATTCAGCTTCTCCAATTTGATCACAAACAGGTAAATATCTCAGATGGAAGAACAGATTTCATCAGCTGCAGGACTGCGCAGGACTTTGGCAAACAAAGCAAAGGGATGACCATATTGATAAGATAGATTTAGAAACAAAGTGTGTTATTATACTGGTCACTACCATTAGAACTAAATTTCCAATAACGATCTAATCTCGATGAAAACATCCCAGCCAGTAGAGTGACAAGGACATTCTCTGATGCATATACGATGATATTTTTTATTAATTAAACTTAATGAAAGTTTACAGACTTTGGATTTCCATACATTCACTGCTGCACTTTTTTCCCTGCCCAACCTCCCTCCCCCAGTCGCTCTTCTCTTAGAAAAGTAAAAGAAAAATTCGTTCATTGTTATATAATTCCCCTCACCCCCCAGGTCCACTCCACTATGCAGCCTGGATTCCTGTCATGACAATAATACCTAATCATATATTCCTTCTAAACAGTTCTCCCCCTCATCTGTTTCAATGCAGTATACATAATTTATACTTTCTCAGTTTCCCTCCAATCCCAATGTCAGTCCCGTTTTACAACAGTGACACTATGCAGTATTTGTCCTTTTGTGACTGAGATATTTCACTCAGCTTAATGCCCTCTAGGATTTTTATTTTTTTAAGATTAATAAACCTTTTATTACAAACAGGTCAAGAACCTCATCTATTTCCTAAACTGTTCCAAGGGGAAGTAAAGATTGGGTTTATGTACAGAGATTGGGCATAAGGTTTACACAAAATTCATTGCTATTGGCAGTTGAGATTTCTTCACATTTGGAAGTTGTTATTGTTTCTGACTTCTCATGGGTGTCCAGGCCCTGGGCTAGGTTCAGGGAGTAAAACTAGTCAGAGAGTAGTAACCAAGTTGGGTCAGCATGTACTAGGAATCAGAAACCTTAGCAACACATAGCCAAAATTACTAAGGCATATATTTCTTTCCTCCCCTTCCCAATCTTTCTGGTTTTGTTTTTTTTAAAAATTTTCTACTAGTTTATTTATAAAATTTGAATACATCGTCTTCAAGAAAAAATTCTTTCCATTTCCCTCACCCATCATGTTGTACAGCCCCATGATTAATCCTCCCTCCCCTGCACATCCTCATCCCTGCTTCCACCCTCTCCCACCCCTCTTGGATCCTTATACTCATTCTACAATAATGGTTTTATACGATATTTATCCTTGTGGGACTGAGTTAGTTCATTCAGCATAAGCTCTCCAGTCCCTCCCAAGTTAGCTAATTATTTATAAAATCATTGCTCCTGTGTGCTACATAGTATTCCACTGTGTGAATGTACCATAATTTCTCAATTCTTTTGATTGTGGTTGGACATTTAGGCTCTTTCCATGCTTTTGTGATGGTGAATAATGCTGCTATGAACACTGGTGTACAAATTTCAGTTTGTGCCTCAGTTCTCATTTTCTCAGAGCATATTTCAAGTAG